CTTTCTTTACAAAATTGTTTGCTTGTACCCTCACTCTCCAGTAATTTATTATATGTGGGCAAAAAATAGGAAACAATTTAATTGCTCAGTGACTTGGCCCACAGATAATAAATTACTGGAGAGTGAGGGTACAAGCAAACAATTTTGTTCAGTTGTGGCATCGTTGACTAGGTCAGTGACTTTTGGCTCGAGTCCGAATATCCTGAAGTAGACAAAATTGTTTGCTAATGTTTCCCACTTTCTGTCTACTTCAAGATATTCGGACTCGGGCGATCATTGGGCGTGGTACTAAGAGAAAGGGGTTGTACTATGTGGATGATGTTGTGTCAAGACATGTTCATCAGGTTCAAAGTTATAGCAGTGGACAGATGAAAACTGTTTAACTGTGGCATCGTTGACTAGGTCATGCTTTATTTGGATATTTAAGAAAATTACTTCCATCATTATTTAATAATATTTCAGACACTTCCTTAAAGTGTAATACTTGCACCTTAGCCAAAAGCCATCATGCTTCTTTTTCGCCAAGTTTTAATAAAAGCATAATATCTTTTGAGTTGATTCATTCTGATGTGTGGGGACCATCTCCGATTACTACTCAGCATGGTATACGCTGGTTTGTGACATTTGTTGATGATTGTACCCAGATGACATGGTTGTATCTTATGAAAAACAAAAGTGATGTGAGTGAAACCTTCAAGACGTTTCATTCCATGGTTCGCAACCAATATTCACTTCCTGTAAAGGTTGTGCGATCCAACAATGGCTGTGAATATGTTAATCAGGATCTTTCTCAATTTTTCAAAGAACATGGTATTCTCCATGAAACTACTTGTTCTCAGACCCCACAACAAAATGGAGTTGCAGAAAGAAAGAATTGTCATATCATTGAGACCACCAGAGCACTCTTAATCGGTGGGTGTGTACCCAAGACCTATTAGACGAATGCCGTAACTTATGTCGTTTATCTTATGAATCGCATGCCATCTCGAGTTCTCTCCTTTTAAACTCATTTGGCAGTGCTTGCAGACCATGTTACGCTTCCCTCTACTCTTCATTGGAACCACGAATTTTTGGGTGTGTCGCTTATGTCCATCTCCACAAGAACCAACGAAGCAAACTTGATCCCTGTGCAGTTCGGTGTGCATTTTTTGGCTTTAATCCACAACAAAAAGGCTACTGGTGTTATCATCCGTCTACTTGGCATATGTACGTCATAATGGACGTCACTTTCTCTAAGGATGAATTGTTTTTTCCTCCCCGCCATACTCCTCAGGAGGAGATAACGACTAATGAGGACGATGGTTTGTTTGATGTGCCGGCCATGGCACCACATGAAGAACACACAATTAGGCTGATTGATGAACAAGTGGGCCAAGAATACCCATTGGCCGATAGGCAAAAGAAAGAAAACAGAGTCATAGCCGAGAGCCCAGTTGGGATTGTTAATGGGCCTATTGATGGTTCCACTGAAGACTACCCAAGTGGGCCAGCCATTACGGCATCCACTGAAGAACACCCAAGTGGGCTAGTCACCACAGCATCCCTGAATAACCCAAATAGGCGTGGGCCAGCTATTTATACAATTTGTTGCAACCCTTATTATCTTGTTTCTCAAGTACCTGTCCAAGATCAACCGAATATTCCTGAGGTAAGTACTAACTCAGAAAACATTAAACCTATTTATGTGTTGCCTTCTAGAGAAAATCGAGAAAGCCTCATGACATGTACTCTCCGGAAGGTAAAGTGTGATATTCAATTGCACACTATGTTTCTACTCATGGGCTCTCGCCAAGTTACTGCGCATTTGTCCAACAAATGGAAGACATAAAAATACCCACAAGAGTTGAAGACACCTTGAAGGATCGGAAATGGACAGAGGCAATGCAGGTGGAAATGGAGGCTTTACAGAAAAATAATACATGAACATTGGTGCCGCTCCCTAAAGGAAAAAAACCAGTAGGGTGTAAGTGGATGTTCACCATTAAACACAAGGCAGATGGAACTATAGATAGATACAAGGTAAGATTGGTGGCAAAGGATTACACGCAAGCTTTTGGTGTTGATTATCAGGAAACTTTTGCTCAAGTCGCAAAGATGAATACCATTAGAGTTCTGTTATCTTTGGCTACAAACTTTGATTGGCCTCTAAGACAGTTTGATGTAAAAAATGCTTTCTTACATGGAGATTTAGATGAGGAAGTTTACATGGACCTTTCGTTAGGGTATGGCACTGCAAACTCTAGTGGGAAGGTGTGCAGACTTCGGAAGGCGCTATACGGTCTGAAGCAATCACCTAAAGCGTGGTTTGGCAGATTCACTCAGGAAATGAAAAAGTATGGGTATCGACAGGGAAATTCTGATCACACTTTATTCATCAATCGTAAGGATGGTAAAGTGACCTTGCTCATCATATATGTGGATGATATGATTGTCACAGGTAATGATACAAGGGAGACTAAAAGACTACAAAGGTACTTGTCTACTGAATTTGAGATGAATGACTTAGGAGGACTCAAGTATTTCCTTAGAATTAAAGTGGCCTGGTCTGGTCTAGGGATTTACTTGTCACAATGCAAGTACATATTAGATCTATTATCAGAGACATGGATGTTGGCTTGTAAATCGGGAGATACTCCGATTGTGCAAAATCATAACCTAGCAATATATCAGGATCAAATTCCGACTAATAAGGAGATGTATCAAAGGTTAGTGGGAAGATTAATTTATCTATCTCTTACTTGGCTAGATATTGCTTATGCAGTGAGCGTAGTCAGTCAGTTCATGCATGCTCCGAGTGAAGATCACATGGCAGCAGTAATGCGAATCTTAAGTTACTTAAAGGGAGCTCCAGGGAAAGGACTGATGTATAAAAAACATGGCCACATGGAGGTGAAAGGATACACTTATGCAGATTGGGCAGGCAATATCACTGACCGGCGGTCTACATCAGGTTATTTCACGTTCGTAGCTGGAAATCTTGTGACTTGGAGAAGTAAAAAGCAAAATGTGGTGGCGAGATCTTCAGTGGAGGCCGCGTACAGAGGAATGGCTCACGAAATTTGTGAGCTTCTATGGTTGCGCATCCTTCTCACTGGGATAGGGATTAAGCCGGAAGGGTCTATGATGTTGTATTGTGATAATCAAGCAGCAAGGGAAATAGCGAACAATCCTATGCAACATGATAGAACCAAGCATGTTAAGGTAGACAGACATTTCATCAAAGAAAAGCTAGATGTGAAGCTGATCAATATTCCATACATGAAGACAGAGGAACAATTGGCGGATATCTTAACACATGCAGTCTCTGCTAGCAGATTTGGTGACTCACTTGACAAGTTGGGTCTAGAAGATATCTACGCACCAACTTGAGGGGGAGTGTTGACGTGTGAGTCATAAATCAATTTGTATTAGAATATGGGGGTTTTTGAATTTTAATCCTTCAAGAAGATTAAAATTTAATAAAAACTTGGTGTTAGATTGATTATTAATTTTAGACCCTTAATGTGTACTTAATTCAAATTCATATTATATTTTTGTTTTTATATTTAATAGATAACTTATTTAATGTTATTACATTAAATTTAAATTTATTATTATACAATTTTATTTAACTTTCTCTAATTAGTGTACCTAAATGTCCGGATCATAATATATTTTACTAAATTAGTGTACCGAAATGCTCGTACCTAAATATATTATAGTGAATTAGTGACAGATAAGAAAATATGTAAAAACATAAGTGTACCAAAATTCCGTACCTAACTATATGATACTAAACTAGTGTACCGAAATGTCGGTACCTAAATATATTATACTAAACTAGTGTACCGAAATGTCCGTACCTAAACATATTATACTAATCCATTGTATTGAAATGTTCGTACCTAAATATATTGTTATGAATTAATGGCAGATAAGAAAATATGCAAAAACATTAGTGTACCGAAAAATCTCTACGAAAATATTTTCTTATATAAGATGCCTACCATAATGAGAATTAAAATTTATAATATTTTCATAAAATTTAAATTCATAAGATTATAAATAAATAAAAAAATATTGAATACATATGTTGGCATTAAATAGAGTCTAGGGACTAAAATCAATTTTTAATCTTGTATAAGACATTTTTCTAAATTTCATCTTATTTAGAGATTAAAATCCAGTTTTCTATAGAATATAATTTGGTTTCCTAGTTTAAAGGGATTCCTTCCTAGCTTAAGGACAGACTCTTCATTTAATATTCCTTGCACCTCAAGGTTGTGATGTATATATATGTTATCGGAGAGAATAATATAAGAAAATAAAAGTTAATTTTTAGTTTTTCAAATCTGGTTGCTTTTGCAATCCTTACGAAATTATTGTCATATACACGTTTTCAATAATTTGTTGACCGCGCGCTTTCAAATCTGAAGACATAAAAGAATAAGAAAAGGTTGCTAATATGAATGGATTTACGTTGTAAAATAAGAAAAGTTTACACAAATACTTACGACTTACATAATTCACATTTTCTGGTACTCGGTAAGGGTTGTTGACTATCTCAGGTCCCTCGTTAGGTCGTCCCCAAGTTAACGCGCACTAAATGGACCCAGACTGGCACATAGTTAACGCGCGAAGGTTCCTCGCACCAGCTGTAAGTCGTGCAAAAATTAAGAAAGCATGCCTTTGCTGGGACTCAAACCTGAGCTGCTACCAACATTTTAAAAGTTCGGGGGCATGCTAAATTTCCCCTTTTTAAAGTTAAATAGCTTTTTGGTTCGCATGTACGTATTGCTCAAATGAGTGATCTAGACCACCACACATACCATAGGCACTACGGGGGTTGTTGGTTCATTGTAGATCAATCAGGTTTCTAGTGAGCATAAACATAAAAAAATATCACCTTAATTGGGATTTAAAGTTAGGATATAATTTTGGCCACTAGGATTATTGTCTGAAGGGGTAGTACTATAGTAGAAAATGGCAGAAAAAATATTAGAAAAAGGCAGAAAAAGAACTATAGGATTTAAGTTTTGCAGACTTTCTGAAAATATAGAAAAAGGGAGTTTGTGCACCAATATACCGCCATAAAAGGACCAAGGCCATAACAGATGAGAAGTTATCCAACTTAAGTCCAGCATAATTATTCTGATATAGCTGCCTGCTCTTTTAGGTACTTGAATATTTCTCAACTGTTACAGTCCGCTTACAGTTATTGCTTCAGTTAACATTGTAGCTAAAACATTTATTTCCCCAAAACAGGTTACGAGAAGCAGATGGGGAATCTGCTGAACATCCTCTCCCAATTATTTCCAATGGTCCTTGAGCCTTGAATAATTTATGACCTAGACGCTCTGGCCCAAATGAAAATTCAATATGAGCTGGATTCTCCTGTCTCTTTCGGAATTGAGCCTGATGAGTACGGTGCCTATGATTACTGAGAAAGTATTTTCCTGTCCACATTTGGTACTCTGATGTTGACATTGACCCATCTCCAGCAACAACATTATTCTGGCTAGAAGGAGACCTTTCCCGCTCGTACACAAGCTGGATTCCGAACTCCTTTATCCGAAAATCATGCATCTCCACCGAAACACGTATTTCATCCCCATAATCCAATTCATTGTTTCCAAATCGAAAATGGCTTAGCCATAGCATATCTTCCTTCAGTTGGAAACCCTACTGTGACTGGAGAATAGGTCCACATAAGACCCTTGGTCTGATTACTGACCTTAATCAAATGCATAGCACTAACAAGATAGTCATCAATAACCAAGCCTGGTTCTCTTGCATATAAAACACATGAATTCAAGCCTCGGATTTTGGGATTAGGATGTGAAGGTGCAATAACTGACAGCACAGATCTGTATCTTGTTGTGAAGCTAAATCCATCTGGAATCTTGCTTCCATGAAAAAAAATGCTATATATGCCACATTCATAGAGTACCTGTTTCATCAAGAATCCACAATTCTAATTTAACTATTCAAACAGTTAGCCCAACTAGTTCATAGATATAATAATTAGAACAACTATCCATGAGAGAGGAGACAGAGACAGACCTGGACAGGAGCCTTCCTGGTTGTAAAGGTCAAGTAGTTGATCATTTCGACATCAGTGCTTGCTATGGATTTCAAATTGAACATGCCCATATATCTTGTCATTTCTATTTCAGCGCTTCTTAGCGGTTTTATATTCAACATGCTTTCAACTTCAACTAAATGCTCACAACCCCAAAAAAGTGATTCCAATGATCTGAATAAGTTTGGTAAATTTGTTAATCTTTTCAATGATGTACAATATTTTGCTTCTAACCTCTTCAACCTTGGTGGGAGCTCCGGAATGATTTCAAGGTTTGTGCAATTATCTAACAAAAGAGTCTCGAGCATAATAAGACTCTTCATTTTTTGTGGTAGGCACAAAATTGGGTTACCAATTAGATTCAAATGCTTCAACGAAGATAGTGTACACAGATCATTGGGAACCTCTGACACGTTGCAGTAAGACAAACTTAAGCTTCCCAAAGAACGGGGTAAACTTGCCAGAGAGAAACGCGTTGATTGAAGAGTCTTTCCCGGCCATGCCCACATCCACCAATACCTGATTGGTGTCCATGATATAATTGATAACAGTCTAAGTTTATTCATATCCCTAGATGTAGAGTGTAAATGATAACTGTGGCACTGTCATGAAGAACAAGCTTTGAGCAACCAGTAAGAATAAGTTCCTCAAGAGACCTCAACATGTTCATTCTTTTTGGAAGCTTCATAAGACTTTTGCAGTCTTTTAGATTCAAGAAAATAAGTTTCCCCAAGTTTCCAATGGATTCATCAACATAAATCAAATTAATGCAATCCTTAAGAATTAGTTTCTCAAGGTTAGGGAGTCCAGACAAGTCAGATGTTGTCCTAAGGCCATGCGAATGACTGAGATTAAGAATTTTCAATCTTGTAAGAAACTGTGTCAAAGAGATGTCATTAGTTGCTATGAATACACAGTTAAATTTCGCTGAAAATTATTTTTGATTGTGTGTATTTTGCGAGAGAGAGAGAGAGAGAGAGAGATCATACCCTGGTTCCTTTCCAAACATGTTGCAGACTGCTCTTCCGTAAGTCAAGAACAACTAGATTTTCCAAACAAAAATTGGCTGGTATTGATTTTAAAGAGAATCCTCGCCAAGATAGCCATATTAAATTTTTTGGAAAATCTTCATAGCTTCCACTCAACTTTACATTATCAAGCAGAAGTAGTTCAAGATTGAGCATCTCTGTAAATGCCTTTGTTTCAAAACCTACCTCATTTAATATCGGAGATGACTTTGTTGAGGGAAAGTTGAGCATGAGGCCCTTGATGGTTCTCGTACCCTGCTAACAAATAAGAGCATTTGATAAGTTACTAGTCACATGCAGAATACCATTGCAAATATATACAGATAAAGATCATGTTTCTTACCGTTAATTTTCTCAAAACATTAAATGCATCTTTATGCCACAGTCTAGTGCGTCTGCCAGGGTCCTCAGGTGATTCTTCACGAATTATTGCCCTTCCCATGTCTTGAAGTAATTGATGCATCATTAACTTCCACAAGACATTAATTTCCACAAGACATCTATCAACAAGATGTTGAAGTCCAACCTCTGTGCAAAAATCACATTCGTCAAGGATTGTAGTTGTAAAATCCTTGTCCTTTCCCACGAAGAAACAGGCTATATGCAGGAATAAGCGTTTATCATGATCTTGTAAAGAATCAAAGCTTATACCAAGAATCTTTTGAATTTTCCCCTCAGAGATCACGTCTAAGTTGTGTAATGCATTTTCCCAAACATCAATTGTTTTTCCATATAGAGAAGATCCCAGAACTTGAAGAGCTAATGGAACCCCTCCACAATGTTCTACTATGGGTCTTGAAAGCTTCATGTAACCTTCTTGAGGATGGGGTTGTCCAAAGGCATGCCAACTGAAAAGCTCAAGTGATTGATGCAGAAGCAATCCTTCAACCTTAAACCTTACACAAAGTTCATGAGCCTTTAACAAATGTTCATGTCTAGTTGTTATGATAATTTTACTTCCAGGATGGAACCAGTCTCGCATTCCAAGAATTGCATTGAACTGTTCTGAGTTATCCACGTCATCAAGAACGATAAGAACTCTTTTGCAACGTACAACCCGTTTGATCTTTACTATACCTTCATCAAGGTTGTATATTTTGTTCATTTTCCTCTTTTGGATATCTGAAAGAAGGTTCCTTTGCAAGTGAACAAAACCATTGGCTTGTCTGGAAGTTTCCCTAATATCTGAAAGAAAGCTGCTAGCTTGAAATTTATAGAAGTTCTGGTTATAAGCAATTTTAGCAATGGTGGTCTTGCCTATTCCACCCATTCCATGGATGACAGCTACTCCAACATCATTTGATCCATCTTCCAGCCACATGTTTAGGCTTTCCACATAGTAACCTCTTCCAATCACATAGGGATCAACTCTTAATCTCCTATTCGTCATGTAGTCCAGTTTATTCCCAATCGCTTCAACAATGTCTTGGATAAACTGCGACTCGTACCTATTTGTTATTGATATCAAAATATATGAGGCACAGTACGTTCTTTCTTTTCACAAGCAAGTTATTTTTTTTATTTTTTTATTTTTTCAAAAAATAAAAGCTAAAATTTTCACAAGCTTGAGACTAGCATCTGATCTACTTGACTGAATATAGGAGAGAATGAAAAATTACCGGTCTCTTAAAACCATCCCTCCCAAGTCTGCAACATCTCTAAGAGCTCGCCTCCACTCCTCCACCTTGTCTATCTTGTCCTTGAATCGCTCTTCATGTCTAGTAAATGATTCTGCAAAACCGCCCATCTGCTTCCTGACATCTGATGGTTCCACATCATAGAAAACTGGCATAACCATGTGTCCATCTGTTCTTTTACGTTCCATGATGATAGCAAGTTCATTCAGGCACCACCTGGAAGAGGCGTAGTCCTTGGAGAAAACAATGATTGATACTCGTGACTCTTGTATTGCTGTCTGTAGCTCGTGTTCAATGTTTGCTCCTCTCTCAATTTCATCATCGTCTCTAAAAGTGTGGATTCCTGCCAACTCCAAAGCACTGTAGAGATGATCTGTAAAGCCCTTGCGTGTATCTGTGCCTCTGAAACTCAAGAATGCATCATATGTGCACCGGTAAGAGGACGAAGAAGCATTCTGTTGCTCGGTGCTCATTGCAGCTATTTAATGGAGTCTATCTGTAGCAGTGAATGCATGAAGAAGAGTTATTATATACAAATTGGAATGCAAATTGAGAATATATTCTCCAGGTACCAAACATATCTGATTTTACACTGAGATGCAAATGATATTACAGGTCTAATTTTGGAAATATGTAGGAAATGATAAACATAATAATAGTACAAGAGACACCAGTTATTGGTTACCAAGTCACAAGGCAAATTCTTGTTAGTTGTAAAATGTGAATAGAAAACGCATTGAAACATTGGCACGCAATTGGGATCTCAAAAAGTTGATGCAAAAACTAATAAGTTGGTGTCTCAAGTAGTACTCAGAAGAAAAGAATAAAAAAACAAATTGGTGTCTAGTAAGAATAAATTCGTCATATCGTCATGCAAGAATATTTATTGGTTATTTTATTTCTTTTTTTTTTTTTTCGTGTGGTGAAAATGGACTAAACTTTTGCTAGACATGTACATGTAACATGGCTCTAGTATGCTTACTTGTATTAGGAATGAAGGTCTGATTCGAGATGGAACTTTTCAAATCCTCTCTAAGTTTTAGAGAGGAGCTCATTTAGGACTCTTAACCACCAAATAATTTAGGAGGTATTTTGATCTAGATGCTCGGTTTTTTAATTTCTTAGACCAAATATCTAAGGTTTTTTTTTTTTTTTTTTTTTTTTTTTTTAAAACAAACTATATCATCTACATTAAGGAGTGGGGAAGTGGGATAAGCCTCAAAATGGGCTAGCAATAATGTGATTTAAATTCGAATTTGGCGAAAATCGAATCTAAGACATCTCACGTACAAGTGACGAGGCATATCACTAGACTGTAGTACTGGGTGGCAAAATATACTAGTTTCTACAATTTTAATTAATTTACTAATTAAATCCTAAATTATTGTAATAGTTTTGAATCATCTCCTCCTTTTAATAGTAATAAATTTAAAAAAAAAATTTCCAAAAGATAACATACTCCTAAAATCTTGCAAAAAATGTATTGTTAAAAACAAAAACAAAAATCAAATGTGATATTTTAAACATACCAGCGTACTTTAAAATTTTAAATGATACTACATATACTTATACATATACATATATATATATATATATATATATATATGCATGCATATATTTACTAAATGTAACGTTCCAATAATTTGGTACGTTATTGGTATACTATGAGTGTACAAATTAGTATTTTGGTATGTTATGTAATTTTTATTTAGATACATACCACACTATTGGTACGTTTATATTATCATAATTTTAGTATGTAAAAAGCTAATAGACGCGTTATGTGTAATCCTACAAGAAATTCATATTAAAACTTTATACAAAAATATATTCTATCAATTTTTAGTGAATTAATTATTAATATAATGACTCATATTTATTTTAAGAAGAAAAAAACGAAAAGGACTAGATCTTTTTTCATGAAATGGATTTAGTTCACGTTTCCGAAAAAAAAAAAATTAAAGTCTTACAAAATAAATTCCATGAGTTTAAAGACTTTAGATCTTTCACGGAGAAGATTAAGGCAACACGAATGCAGTTGGATAATTGGGCAAAAACAATGAAGCGATCAATTCCAGGGGAGATTTCAAAAACGGAGGATAAGTTGAATGCTTTATTTGGAAGGCCTTTTACCAATAAAACTATAGCATAACGACATGAATTAAATACTCAACTGCAATCCTTACTGGCACAGGAAGAAGCTTTCTGGCGGCAGAGGTCAAAGGAAAATTGATTAAGGCTTAGGGATTAAAATACAAAATTCTTTCATTAGAAGGCTAATTGAAGACAAAGGAGGAATGCATTACCGGGGTTATTTGATGAGGCCGGGGTTTGGCATGAAGATAAGAGGGGCATGGAGGCAGTGATTGTATATTATTTCTCCAAGTTATTTGATTCTCAAGGTGCGACGGACGTGTCGGAAATTATGTAGGTAGTGACTCCCAAGGTTTTGGCAAAAATGAATCAAGAGCTTCTACGGCCTGTTTCAAATGATGAAATTAAAGCTATGTTATTTCAAATGCATCCGACTAAAGCTCCAGGACTTGACGGTATGTCACCTGGTTTCTATCAGAAGCATTGGGAGACTGTTGGCCAAGATGTTTGTGATGGGGTAAGGTATCATCTTTCCTCGGGACATGTGCTTCGGAAAATCAATTATACCCATGTCACTTTAATTCCAAAGAAACTTGATCCCACAGCAATGACTTAGCTTTGGCCGATTAGTCTGTGTAATTTGATTTATAAGATTTGCTCCAAGGTTCTTACTAATCGCCTGAAAGTCATCCTCCCGGAGATTATTTCACCCTTGCAAAGTGCCTTTATTCCGAGAAGGTTAATTTCTTACATTTGTTTGGTAGCTTCGGAGATTGCACATTATATGCATAGGAAGAACAATGGGTGGAATGGGGTGATGGCATTGAAGTTGGATATCAACAAGGCTTATCGTATTGAATGGAGTTTTTTGGAGCAAATTATGAAAATGTTGGGATTTGCAGAAGAATGGATACACTGGATAATGATGTGTGTTTCTACTGTGTCTTATTCGTTCAAATTGAATGGGGAGCCTGTGGATCTTGTTTATCAGCTTTATTTGATTCGTGGAAGGCACAAGACCGAATTTAAGGGGTTCAGGTATGTAGAGTCCCCAACTGTTCATCATCTTCTATTTGTGGATGATAGTTTTATATTTGCCAGTTCTCTGCAGGAGTGTTTATAGTTAAAGGAATTACTACGGACTTATGAACATGTCGTAATCTAACGGACATGGATGCACATGGATGCACAGTTGCTGGCCGATTGCCTAGGGTTGGAACGAGTGGAGTACCATGACCGATATCTTGGCCTACCAGTGTTTATCGGCAGATCCAAGAAAGATACATTTGCCTTTATTAAAGATCGATTATGGAAAAAGTTGAATGGCTAGCGTGGTTCCTTGTTGAGTAGTGCTGGAAAAGAAATCTTGATAAAAACGGTTGCGTAGGTAGTGTCATTGTATACGATGCAGACGTTGTTGTTGCCTAAGAAATGGAATGCAGCAGCATCGCAAATCTCCTCGGCAATAACACATAAATGGCAGTTTTCGGACTCTGAAAGGATAAAGTGTAATTTTGATGGAGCATGGGATGAGAAGGGATCGGTTGGAGGCTTTGGGATTGTGGTAAGGAACTCGGAGGGAGGTTTCATGGCAGCAAAGGCGATCAAGGAGGAAGGGGTGAGATCAACGCTGCATGCTGAGGCTGCTGATGCACGTGCAGTAATGTTGTTCTTACGGAAATGGGGAACGGAACGGGTCCAGGTGGCAGGGGATGCGCTGCTGGTGACTTCTGCAATTCAGAATGCAGGTGCAGCGCTTAGTGGTCATTATGGGCAGCTGTTTGAGGATACAAGGCAGCTTCTTCAAGGATTCAAGCAATGGAAGGTTACATTTGGTCGAAGAGAGACGAATAAGGTGGTTCATCGCCTTGCAAGGTTTAGTCTAACTATTGATCACTCAGTTTTTTGGTTCGAAGAGCCTAATTTCTGATTTATTATTAGAGAATAGTACTAGTAGTAAATTTTAGTGCGGAACACTCTTTTTCTCTTTTATCGGGTTGAAAGTTCTAACAAAGTTTTTTATTGAGATCCATTATAAGACTCTATCCTCGATTTGTACGTATTTCAATAATTTAATAAATATCGTGCTTCTTCAAAGAAAAAAAAAAAGAAGACTTTAGATCTTAGTTTTAATAGGAATATATTAACAAGAAAAATAAAGATAAGAAAGCAAGAGGATCTCCGCCATGAAGATTTCAATTCAAAATGAATAACACAAGCAGTTCACCAAAAGGGGAAAAAAAAAGAGAAGAAGGTAATGATACAAGCAGATCTATGTTTTCACAACAGGGGAGCTTGGAGGTACCTTGCACACACCAGAGTTGTGTATTGTAAGATGTCGAAAGCTGGGAGTTTTCTTCCTGCCGGCAAGCTGTTGGAGGGAAGCCCCAACTAGTTTCTTCAAAAAGACACTGTGAAATGGACGATTTCACAAAAAGAATTTTGCTAACTCGCAACCTTAAGTTGATAATTATAGTTCCTCTCCACCATGCTCAAATTTCTAAGGATCTGAATGGGCGTCAGTCTTAAGAGTTGATGAAGAAGAGGAGGTAGGAGATGATCATGCTACCAGAGAAGCTCAAGAAGAAGGACGAGAGCTTTCTGTTTTGTCCTTTCCCTTTTTTTGGTAAATGGGGGTGGGTACGCCCAAACAAACCAATAAAATTCAGCCGACAATAATACATAGCTTTTTCAAAAATATGTAAATTCGTGTTTTACGCGAAAATTCAGTAATCAATTTTTTTTTTATACTCATAGCCTCATAGGTCATACACGAAAATTCAGTAATCATTTTTCTATAGTCATAGGTCATACATAAAAATTCAGTAATCATTTTTTTTTAATACTCATAGGTCATACTCACAAAAGAGTGACTATAATGCAACTCTAAAGATTCAATTATAAATTTCTCTAACCTTACAGTCTAATAATATTTTCCTATACTTATAAGTAGAAGGATTTAAATTCGACTCTAGTTCGATGCCAAATTATGGTGTGTGACTTAGTCCAGATCCCATGCCTGCAATATCATTATATAAAAATAATTAAAAAAGAAGACAATTCAGTTGCTAAATTTTAAGGGAAAGAGGATCTGGTCTGGATATCTTCCATCAAAGGCCCATGATCAAGTGATCCGGGCCGTTGAAATTTGATCTAACGGCTACCAACAAGGAGCCTTCTAAAACTTATAATAATTATAATCGTTGGATCACTTGATCCTGGGCTTTTGATGGAAGAGATCCGAACCGGATCATCTTCCACTTTGAGGGACTTGTAGAGAGTTCAGCAGTATCCTTGCTCTGCCCGACGGTACGTCTCTATAGCATTTCTTCCTTAGAGAGACAATTCAATTATTGATTTTCAAGGGACGTGTAACTCAAAGTTGGTAAAAGCATGCCGATCCCCCTCTCCCGACATCAATTGTTTAAAATAGAAATGATTCAATTTAGATTTGAATGCAGGCAAATTCAATCTGCATGAAACAAAGTAAAACTGAAAAATCCTCTTCATTAATAAGAATTAACAAAATTGACGTTTTAGGGGCAACAGCTGCAGAAGATGTGCATTTTTTTTCTTGGGAGTATTTTTGCTTATCATCCTCAAGTGATGATGATAATTCTCACTCTATTTCTTATCGTTAGATAAGTTTAAATTTTGAGATCTATATAGTTGATGTTGGAAAATTTGTTATTTAATTATATAGTTTGCTTATTAGTTTATGATTTGGGTTTAGCCTATCCGTATTAGGTTTCTTAAGTTTTGCTCTCTATAAATACAACTTATAGTTTAGTATGAATAATATGTCACATCCCGGCCCGGGGTGGACCACTTCCCGGGCCCGCTCCACCACCGTAGCACGATATTGTTCGCTTTGGGCCCTGACCATGCCCTCACGATTTTGTTTCTGGGAACTCACGAGCAACTTCCCAGTGGGTCACCCATCATGGGAGTGCTCTAGCCCCCTTCTCGCTTAACTTCGGAGTTCCGACGGAACCCGAAGCCAGTGAGCTCCCAAAAGGCCTCGTGCTAGGTAGGGATGAGAATATACATTTAAGGATCGCTCCCCTGGGCGATGTGGGATGTTACAATCCACCCCCCTTAGGGGCCCGACGTCCTCGTCGGCACACTTCCGGCCAGGGATTGGCTCTGATACCAATTGTCACATCCCGGCCCGGGGTGGACCACTTCCCGGGCCCGCTCCACCACCGTAGCACGATATTGTTCGCTTTGGGCCCTGACCATGCCCTCACGATTTTGTTTCTGGGAACTCACGAGCAACTTCCCAGTGGGTCACCCATCATGGGAGTGCTCTAGCCCCCTTCTCGCTTAACTTCGGAGTTCCGACGGAACCCGAAGCCAGTGAGCTCCCAAAAGGCCTCGTGCTAGGTAGGGATGGGAATATACATTTAAGGATCGCTCCCCTGGGCGATGTGGGATGTTACATAATAAGTCATCACAATGTAGTGTAACTGTCTTGCCAATATTGTTTCTTTGCTTTTCAATTCATCAAATAATATTCGTAGTTTGTAATCTGATTGTTTGTTATGCGCAAGTTTGATCCTTCGGGATTTAATCTGATATTGTCCCGTATCAGTTTGTTGTCGTCTTCCATAGTTTTATTGTTCCAGTTTGTCAAAATTGTTGCCATTCGTTGTAGTCCCCCCAAAAAACACATCATTGTTCATTCTTGTCCCGCACTCCGGCATCTGACTTGCACGTGACCCACATCCTACATCGTTTCCGCATATGGATCCATCTGCACCGTCATGACCACTGTTCTAAAAATCACAGCCTAGCGCCGCCTAGGCCCTGTCCTGTCTAGCGCCGTCTAGGCCCCACCTAGGCGCTAGGCAACTGGCCACCGTCCCGATTAATGCCTAGACATTTGAAAATTAAGAAAGGGCACATAAACCTATTGAGGCACCCACCTAGCCCGTCCAGACCTACTTAGGCACCCGCTTAAGTTGCGACTCACTTAGACAGAAAATAGATAACTTTCATTTTGTATTTTTTTTCTTCAATAAATTGTAAGAGACTTGCTGAATAGTTAAATGAACACACATTATATGTTTGTTCCCCATATTTTCATTATGTTCTGGTACTTCATAATATATATGTCATTTTATTTTGTAGCTTATGATGAAATTATATATATTTGAAGTATAAACATACACTTATTTACTCGAAATATTATAGATTTACTTAAATTCGCTTAGTCCATCTAGGTGCTCGCCTAGACCCCACCTAGCTGCCTAGGCGCTAGGCCTTAGCTCGCCGTTGGACTAGCACCTAATGTCTTTTAGAACCTTGGTCATAACCAATGGCGAAGCCATAAATTATTTAAGAGATGGACGAAATTTAAAAGGGTAAAAGGTCTCAAAAAAATATAGATAACCATTTGAGGTCCAAGTCCATGGTCTGCAGTAAGATTAGATAATACTTCATTCAACTAAGTGACCTCACTTGAGAACTATCCAGAATATTCAAATGAGGATTTGTATTAACCGGAATATTCGAATGAGGATTTTGACTACTTGAAATATTCGAAGGAGTATTTGGACTAACCGGAATATTTGAAGGAGGATATAACCATGTCTTACAGTATAGTTCCATTATGTAATTGTATAATGGGCAAAGTTTTAACAGACACTATGTGCTAGTTGGATGGCGTGATGTGCCCTAATGCCTAAGCAGAGCCTAGGTAAACTAGACAAATTTAAGTAATTTATTATATCGTATAAATAAATGTTATTTATTATATAAAATATTAATTATATGTATAATATATAAAAATTGATAGATTTTCCTTAATATTTTGGTCAATTATAGTATGAGATAAAAGTTCAAGTGACTTCATAATGAATTTTAAGGGATAACTTTGTCAACGTGTGGCCTAAAAAATATTGGCAAAGGAGAACACATAAAAGAACGCAACTTAATCGGACATAACTAAAAGTGCAAGTTAACTTGATTAAACAACAATTGAAAACAAAAAAAAATAAAAAATGGTGGAAGTTAAGAGGTCTGGGAATGGGAGAAGGAGAAACTCTCTTCTTCTTCTTTCTGATGTCTTCTTAGTTGGAGCCAAAGTTGCACATATTGCAGATTTAGTATACCCTAACTGAAAAAATATTCACGTGTTGCGCAGTAGCAACAACAAATTCAAGCATTTTTTGTGTAGGGTTAGAGGGTGAATCCTCATTTTTCATGGGGATTTCGGCCAATCGAAGGGGTGACCGCCCCTTTTTGTTTGGGTAGTCCTACCCACACATCTATTTTTACTTCTCACACACCCCTTTCAATTTTCAGCAATCGAATCGAATGAATTGAAGAAGATCAATGACCTAAAATTAACAAAGGTGTTTGATAGGTAAAAGTGAGTGTGTGAATTACACTGCCCTTTTATTTTAGTGTAGCTTCGCCTATGGTCGTGACGATCTACCTGCACTTTGACCTAGGGCTGGGTTCGGTTCTTATTGGTTCAATTTTTTGCCAAAACCGAAACTGAACCGAAATTTCAGTTCGGTTCGATTTGGTTCAAATTTTTTCGGTTTTTTCTTGATTTGGTTTTTTTTCGGTTCGGTTTTGGTTTTTTTTTTCCCCCTCCAAAAAATGCAAAACAATCATAAGATAAGATAGAAAATATGACATGTTTCCATCTCTCCAGGGATGGGCTCACGGTTTTTCAATATTGATGGGGGAAGTTACTAATTAATCTAAAAACATAAAGTCCATAAAACTAAAAGTCTCAAAAAAATGAAAATTTTTGAAATATGAAATTTTAACATTTCCAAGTTCCAACAATCATAATATAAGAATTCCAACTAGAATAGAATCAAAGACAATGAAAATAAACATTTAAAGTCCAACTAGAAATAGAATCATCAATCAAGTTTAAGTCTTCAAAAAGTCCAAATTTAAACATCAAAG